ATAAAAATAATAATAAAAATAATAATAAAGGGTTGCCTAGTTTCAGAGGTAAAACTAGGCCCGAAATGGTCGAAAAGATGTGGTAACTTTTGTAACTTGAGAGTCCTTGAAAATGGAAAATTTACATACATCTATTTGGTGATTGGTCAACGTTTTTGAGTAAAATTCACACAGAAATGTGTTTTATACATGTATGGGCACTCGACGGCAAACAATCAGGTGGTTTGGACATTTGACACTTGTGGCACCTCGCCAGTTTGGCCAGATTAGCGTACTACAGAAAAATATCAGGGTACAAGACAAGAAGAAGACCAAGAAAGACCTGGATCGAGTGTGTGAATACCCTGAAAAATGTATAATAACATTCCTCCCAGCCAGGCCATCAAACTTGATAGAGACAAAAAGCTCTTTCTCCCCTCGAAGGCATAAAAGTACAAGAGTACGGATCAAGTAAAGTAAAGTTAGTACAGAATAAAAGGCGTTGAGAAAAAACAACCAAATATTCAATTTTTTAAATTGCCAAACTGGAGGTAAAATTCCTGTTTCTTCGATTTCTTTATAATATTGACAAGTGCCTGATTTCACCAAGATGCCTCACATATTAAGAATAATTTAAGGGTCTTCAAACTCTCCAAATATTCCTTTAATAAGAAATGACTTGAGGTAAAATAGTATTTTCGTTTGAATAGATCTGGTTTTGAATTATGTCAAAAAAACAATATGTACGTGATAATAGTTCCTGGAGATATCTTAATCACAGTCTTTAGGCTTTTTGACGTGTGCCCAAATCACATGCGAGATTCCCACATAACGAAAGGAGTTGAACCAAGTACAAACGAGGGATAGGTACAAGACAATCGGCTGTATAAACGAGCCTTTAAAACTATAATATCAACACTGTCCAAGACACACACCTGTCTGAGACGACTGCTTTCTTCTTTGACGATGGACGTACGCTGTGAACTATTTAGATTGCATCTCCCACCTCTCTGTTCTTATTTTTTTAAAGGTGTAACACTCATTAAAGTGGAGTTCAATTTAACTTTATTTTTTACTATCCTAATTTTGCCCATCAAAGTATATTGTTAATCCCCCC